GCAAACCCCATGTTCAGTTTCAATTCGGGTGATGTTGTTTGCCTTCCTGCTGTGGTATTGAATCTACTTGGAAGATTCTGAACGAGGATGTCCTTCGCATTGCTTTGCAGTTCGTCATAGAACCGCTCCACCTTTTCACCATCATTCTACAAGGGGGTGCTGCAATATTGAGATACTGTCTGGTGTAAGATTTCCATCTGTCTTACAGTACCACAGTGTCGGTATAACGTAAGAAATAAATTGTTCTTTCTTTACACTGTACGTTTTCTCCGTTAACATCCGGTTATATTTTTAATATATCATATTCAGCTTGTTGCTTTGGGCTATAAACACAGACTATGTTTTGTGACAGGTGAAACTCTGCGTTGTCCGGTCGCAAAATAGGTCCGACGCGAGGTCGCAGCTGACTACGATCGGTACAGTCCTATTCTTTACGATGAATCCTACACTTCTGTCCGAGCTGCGGTTTTCTTACGTTTTCGTCCCGAGTAATATTTAAGCATCTTTGTTTCATTATGCAATAAGTTCAGCGGATCTTCGGGACTCGCACACCACAGAGCATGTTGTTTGACCTTCTTCGTTTCGGTGATGTGATGACGATGAGTGCGTCTGTCGGCGAGTTCTTGCAGTTTGGCTAACCGCGAAGATCTTGATGATTTCGTTTGTTCGTCAGTAACTCGCTGACCATTACAGGATCGTAAGTAATTCCAGTTTTTGGCAAGCCGACTGCATTGGTAGCCTGCACTTATGGCCTGGTGTTCTTCCATGTGTGACTTATTTTTGAAGAATTTCGTAAGCAGTTCATTCGGAATGCCACCTTCTTGAACTTTGGCCTTTGTTCTCCACATTTTTCCATCAGCACATCAGCACCCACAAGGGAGGCGCTTTCTTAGCTCTTAGTTATTCCTGACCAGTGTATGACCTTATTGTATCATCTGAGAGGCAGCTCTCCGTGTAATATCCAGTCTGCTGATCACGCAGACGGCTCAAATTTAACCGCTTGTCACCTTTATTATATGCCATGAAAAAAAATACATGAAACTTTGCGCAGATGCAAAAGACGCTCCTCCACTTTTTGTTCGGGAATGCATTGAGAAAATATCTGATTTGGACTACAGAAGAATGAGCACACCGCAAGGCCTGCCTTACTGCGAATATGGACTGTGGACTGTGCCTCACAGCATCCGAAACCAGAAGAAGGTCATTGCGGGAGTGATGTTTTGCGCGACCAAGGATTGCAACTCCTACACACAAGAACAATTTCAAGACGCCGCGAAGTGCACAAATCCTAATCGCGGTATGATATTTCTACTTAATGTTATAATTCAAAGAATTAATAAGACTTTATTGTACATCCGGTATTCCATTACCATCATATGCTAAGACTCCTTTATTAGCAGACCTATTTTAAAATGGTCTTTATCTATGACAGATGCATCGGTCTGACTGAAAGGGTGCCCTTAAGTGATTGCATGCAATAAATACACATTTTCCTAGGTTATTAGTGAAAACTGAAGCACGTTCATAAATTTGATACGCAAAATTAGGTCAACGTAACAAAGACCCGAACGAAGTTTTAACGGTAACTGGTTGTTACATTATGTTTGTTGGTTAACATTCTGCTCAAGCAGTTTAACAGCACTTTACCTGTAACCCGTACCAATTGGAAAACAATGAATTGAAGCAGCCATTTTGTTCAGCCTAGCCCTGATGATGCAACGGTA